ATCTCAGTAGCAGCTGTCAATTGGTAACCAAACAGCGAGCGAACGACAACAGAGAACAACATCCAGAGAGCGGCAACCGGAGAACAGCAACCGGAGAACAGCAACCGGGAACAGCAACAAGAGACAGCAGTCAGGGACGACAATTGGAAGCAGCGACCAGACAACAGCAAACATTCAGACGAACAGTTAGATCAATGCAATCAGACTAGAGATTAACTCACTTATCCAGATATTCAGCAATCAGTCCAGCAATCAGTTCAGTAACCAGATCAGCGATCAAATCATTGATAATCAGCAGACGGCAGACACCACATTCATGAGTACGGTCCAATCATTCCTGGTCAGCGAGTCAATGTTGACCAATCTCAATCAGTTTTCATATAAGGAGGCCATCCGTTACCAGTATGTCAATGCTATCGGCCTCAGACAGGGAGACCTGTCAATCTTCGTTGTCCAGACTAGCTTTGTTGATGGTACTATTCATGACCTGAGGCCATACCTGAAAAAGGGGAAGGAAGCTCACGAGCATTTTGATCCAGTCTGGATCTCAGCCACCAAATACCTCGAGCAGAGAGAGAGGAAGCTCGATGAGAGTGGCACTACACCGATCCGCAGCTTTGGGTCAAAGCTTTATACTGACTATCCCAGGCCTCCTGTTCCTTCCCTCCTCACAGATGGCACGAGTTGGCTTGATATGATCGGCTTAGCAAAGAGGTATATCTCTCCAGCAGTGATCGACATTGAGGCACTGACTGAGCCCACCGAGTATCCCTACCTCAGACGAGGAGTCTTTTTAGTGGATGGACTGCCTACTTTGTGAGAGGAGTTTTGCTCCATGGTCAACTTCCGTGTCATGTACCTCGGATGGTCATGCTCAGAGCTTGCAGGTTTCAGGTGGCTCTTTGTCACGAGGCCTCAATCTCAGATTGATCTCAGATTGTACGTGGGCGTGGGTCACAGCACCAGAAACGAACAGTGAAAACAGAGACTGAGAGAAACTGACGAGAGGGATGAGTGAGGACTCTTGAGAGGTGCTGACCATGCTTGTTTATGTATACTTTTTGAGATTATTATGAGTTCTCATTCATCCTTCATACACCTGATCTTGCCTTTGCTCGGGTCAGTCTGTCTTGTCTCTTGCATTGTTCTTGTTTTGATGATTGCATTTGTGGATAATTATGTCACAGTTCTCAAACTCAGACTGATATATTTAATGCATGCATAGCACCCCATAATTTTATGATTATTATTTGCATGATTCTCTGTTGTTCCGAATCAAAATAAAATATTTCTAAGACCGAGGACTGGCGAAGACCGCAATTGAAGGGTCTCGCTCGAAGCCGGACGCACACAACGGAAGGGATTTGCATTATTTAATTCATTTTATTTATTGCAATCACAACAACAAATCTTGCGTGACAGCCTGTTGGCTTTCTAATCGCCCTAAGTGGCCGGACTAGAAAAAGTGCGACAGCGGGCAAGGCGCGAAGAGAGAAAAATCCAAATTCAATCCAAAAAGTATTGTCGGGCTTCCCACCGTGCCACGGTCCGTCGTTTAGAGCGGAAGGGCTTTGGTACGCTTCGCGTGTCCCGTTTCCGTATCAAATCTCGACGTCGTTCGTTGGTCAGTTCTGAGTCCGACGTGGATGGTCTCAGCCGCGTGGCTCTTTCCTTATGCTCGTCTTCACTCCGTATTCGGTAGTGGAAACCCTTCGCTTCGTAGTGATCGAAGTGCTGGCACTCCGTACACAGGGTTCGAGGCCAATAGGGCTCTACTGCCGTCCACGGGATGACGATCAACTCGTTAAATGGCAACAATATCGAGTAGGGTGGAAAGTGCGTATCGATAATGACAAACCCAGCATCTACGAACCCTGAACAACGGTTGGCCGGAGGGAAGTAATATTGCCCGCCGATTTGTGCGACCGCTTCTCGTACGTCCCACTCGCATACACGTGTCCTTTCCTCGCTGTAGGGAAAAGGTCGTGTTAAAAGGCGAGATACGGGAGGCTGGCGCCCGATCGAAGGGTGCTTGTCAGTCCACATATCAATCAACTGCAAATATCTCGAAACGTTATCAAGAACAGGAAACACTCGCGCATCCTCCAATCAATCATTTTTTACATAAGAGAGAGAGAGAGAGAGAGACAGAGAGAGAGAAAAAAAAAAACACGCATCAACTTGATCATGCATATGGCTAAGGGACCGACCCGCGACTCAGTTTTAGTGAGCCAACACAACGTGGTCCCCGGCGCCTTGTTTCTCAAGGCCTCCCGGTGGCTTGGTTGTTGATATCGTGCAGCATAAGGCAGATGGCATGCGCAGTGCATCCGAAACTACAGATCTAAACACTCTTGCATTCTCGAATAAGATCCCGACGACAATCGTCTAATCAAAAAGAGTCACACGTCTCCATACATACATTCACTGTGGAAGGTGCAAAAATGAGACATGCACAAGGAAAGATGGATCGCATTGCACAGTACACATGCATCCACCGTTCACAAGACAAGAAGACGGGGTCCTTGCATAGGAGGATTACCCAGGAAACTAATGGAAGAGTTCCGGAAGAAGTTCTTTCGCACAAGGAGGACACATAGATTCACTCCTATCAAAGAGAAGAGAGAGAGACAAACGTCGAGACACATCATTATATGAAGTAGAGAAGAGAGGGGGGAGATGAGGGAGRAGAGTCGAGATAGGGAATGATCAGATCYKGAAGAGAGACATTCGGTGTAGTCGCCGCATACTCACGCCAAAGACAAAGATCCGCAACAACAAAGGCGCATTCGCCGTTAATTYCAATATGGCCCCGGGCCAATMATTCACTCAACTYCAATCATCGATCCTCATACCCKCATCGACGATCCCGRYCGTCKYGTGCTAACTCCCACCGTTGCGATCGTCACCCCRCTGTCGTAAACTCGACAYGGTTCGCCCGGATCCCACAGTCCGTCGTGGCGATCAAGCRYGCAACCGGCCAGCCTATCGYCAKCCCGACAGGACTTTCCGACTCGCATCAACCCACTCTGCCTAGCCACTGCTTCCCGGAAGTTGGCTTAGGAGTCGAGAACRTAAGAGAGCTTTGSGGACGCGCTTGCRGGTTTYATAGTTGCGACAAGGGAGATAGAARGGRGAGAAAGCGAAGGGAAAGCTGAGGGGTGAAAGGARAAGYAGGAGGAGAAGACTTTGAGAAGAGTGYTCTGYRAGCKCCATGTTGATCCCTCGGAACTCGAAGTTCAACCAATCARAGTCGTCGYGCAATAGGAAGGTCTTATTGATCCACGCACCTGATTGGCGAGCGGGAGTTGTCGATGGATCGACCGGGCGTCGTGCGCCAGACTCAAAGGGTGAGAAAAGAAAAGGCGCGAGACGTAGTGCAAGACGGGTCCAAGATTCAGACGATCAAGAAGGGAAATGGGCGCGCAAAAATCAAGGCGGGAGGGAGAGAGAGAGAAGGAAAATAGTTACGGGGAGAGAGAAAAAGGAGGGAGAAGGGAAAGGAGGCGCGGGAGGGAGCGATGCGGGGGACAGAGAGGAGAAAGTTTGCATACGCGGCGTCGTCAACAAAAAAAGAGAAAAAGGCACCAAAACAGTTACAGCTTGCTTCTATCCTAATTCGAAATTGAAATCACCATATCTGCGCGCGAAAAAGCGACGCGGGAAAAGAAAATCCTACGCCTATTCGTATTCACGCAAAATTCCGGGAGTTTTTTCCGACTCGACCAAGAACATTCACACATACGTAAAGGACACATTGAAGTTCCGCTTATCCCGGAATTCCGAACTGCCGGGCCCAATTCCTCGTGCGCTCGCTAAGGCGCACGTAAATTCCCATGTATTTTCCGACTTTCAAAAAGGAAAAACAGAACCCGAAAATCGAAAAAAACTTCAAAAAAAAAAGGAAATGCGACATCCGAAAAGAAGAAAACGAAAAGGGTTTTTAATGGGGTTGGTATGATACAAAAAACAGAGGTACAAAAAGATAGCATGGGTTCGGGAAGTAGCTCGTCACATATGTGACGCGCAGGGGGTTCCAAAACTATGCAATCTCCTGATTGCATGTCATGGGGGAAAAAGAGAGAGAAAAGGAGAGAACAGAGTGATGCATGAGGAACCAAGCGTATCAACAAACGATCCAGCCAGAGTCCATGTTGACGCCAACTTCAATTGCAATCCTCTGTCTGCTGCTGGAATCCTTGATGGTCATCCAGGTGACACCATCATCGTCCGCTGGTTCTCCGTGTGCTCTGCGCCCTAGCTGGTTGCCCCCCGTCGAATCAGAGCGTAAGTTGACGTCATCGTCGATGACGCGATCTTCACGAGGCTGACTTATTCGTGCCGTCTTCTCCTGCCGATGAAGAAAGGAGGGGGGGGGGGTTAGTCGCGGGATCGGGGATCTACCTCCTAGTTAGAATGGGCCAATAAAGGCGGTACATGGGGGGGATTTCACGGGGTCGATGGGGAGGAAGGGGGGGTAGGAAGCGATTCATCCCTTCCATCGTCACCGGAAGTTCCTCATATCGGATGATCCGGTGGAAGCGAGGGAAGTGATCGCCGCTGCGGGGGAGAGAAGCAAGGTAGTCGCGATAGAAGGAGCAGAGGGTGCGGAAAAGCGCCGCTCGAAAGAACTCATAGTGGCGGCAGGCGGGGATTGTCCCCGTGGCAACACAGTAAACCTCTACCACGTTGCATCGCTCCCATGCAGCGCTGAACAGCAGGAGATGCCAGCAGAACGTGGGGGCAGCGGATTGAAGGGAGGCGTGGGGGTGGACAGTGGCGAGTAGGCGGGTAGAATAGAAGTCGCGGAAGAGATGGGGAAGGAAGGGATGAGAAGGGAAGGTGACGGGGGTACGGATCTGCTCGAGGGTGAGGAAATCAAGGGGTCGGCAGGACAGCATCCGAGGACGAAGGCCTATCGCCCGCATCGGTACGTGGACGAACTGGGGGACGGGTGGGGCTGGAGGAGGAGGGGGATCGGCTCCGTCTCCGTCGCGCGGTACTTGAGGTGGCGGCCGCAGGGTCGCCATCTTAGGGCTTCGGCGGCTCTGGATCCCTGGTCAGATCGTTACCGATGCGCAGGCTTGCTTTGCTGGCGAACTCCAGCTGGCGCTTCCCGGTGGCAATTTCTTCGCGCTTTCGCGCCGCTTCCGGATCTTCCGCCTCCGTTCCCGTACGCGTCGCTTCCTCCGGCAAGGCTTCCCACTCAGATCCGGTTTCTTCTTCCTCCTCTTCTCCTTCGCTCAGCTCGCCCTCGCTATATTCACTATAGTTTCCCTCCTCCGATGTTTCCTCGTCTTCGTCCTCTTCGTCGTCGTCGTCGATCACCACTTCCTCTGCCCTCGGATAGAAGGCGTGAGGGATGATATCGTACGGCTTCAGATACTCCTGCCGCGATGGTAGCGTATCCTCGTCCCTAGGTTCTTCCAAGCACGCAGTCCACTGAAGGTACGGATCCAATGATCGCTCGAAAATGTACGGAGCAGGACTATCGTCACTCTGTGAATAGATGTCGGGCGAGAGATCGTCCGCCAATTGCACGATCGGTGCGATGAGCTCCTGTGCAATCAGCTGGCGGCGCCCCGGCTGTACCAATCCAAAGAGAAAGCCAAGAAGATCGCCCTCCACGTTAGTCCTTCAGGCCTGTATGATCAGCAGCTCCGGGTTCTCGATCCACGTGGGATGCTCGCTAGTGCCCGTCCACGTGACCTGTACTCGGGCCAGGCAGAAGGACAATTCGTCAAAAGTTTTGCACCACAGCCGCCAATGTCCAGGATTGATAAGTGGGACAGAAAGGGGTTCGAACGTGAAGGAAAGAGAGGGATGAAGATCGGATTGCCAGAAGGTGGGAAAAAGAGAGGGGAGACCGAAGATAGAGAGAGGAGCGAGAAGATCGGCGTGGTTCATTGGGGATGTGGGAAGGGGACGAGGGTTGGGATCGCAACTCGCCGCTCGCACGGTGATCGGCGAATATCGCCAAGATCCGGTGCAAAGATCAGGATGAGGTTATACCCAGGTCGGGCGAGAACGTGCTGCCACACGTTGGACACTTGCTCCGTCCACTCGCGCAGCGAGGTCAAGATTGCGGTATGTCACTGCGGATTGACCGAGCTGATGTCGCCGCTGAACGCCGCAACCGTGGTGACGTGGCTCGTTCTGGGACCCGCTCGCCGATGAACTGTGGTTACCTCCGCGAATACTATTGCGTGAGGACTTCCTTCGATTCGAAACGCGGCGGCGGTACAGATACCTTCGTCGCAGAAGAATCGCATCAAACGCCGAAGATCCGCATTGAGCCGAGGGTGACAAACTTGCCGAATCTTTGAGATGTGGCCACGTGGCTGCAACAGCTGTGCGTCAAGAACCCGCTCCGTGATAAAACTCATGGCGAGGTAGGAGAGGAAGACGAAGGACAAGAGGGAGGAAGAGGAGAGAGAGTTAGATCGTCGTCGTTCTCCTCGCTTTCCGAGGAAGAAGAGGGAGGAAGATCAGAAGGAGGAAGAAGATGGAGGTAGGAGGTATGCCGGGCGATGGGGACAGAGTTATGGCTGGCACTAGCCTCAGGCGCGATGCGCACCGTGTTGGCGCTATTGGATCCGAGCTCGACAACGTGAAAACGGCCAGAAAACTTGGGAGCGAGTTTCCGGTCGCGTGCATATTTACGTACCTGCACTAGGTCCCCTAATTTATATTGATGATGGGGCCCAGCATTTCCATTCCGAGCCTCGTAGCTACAAACCTGTCTACCGTGGGCCAGTTCGGTCATTCTTTGCCTTTTTCGGGCTAGCTTCGGGACGGCCCGTTCCATTAATTCGGTGTACCTTTTGGCCTTAGCCTTGAGAGCTGCATGCGTGTGTCTACCCCCTGCTTCGACAATTTCTGAGTTACCCCGGTAGTCGACACAGGGGAGGCTATTAGTTCGAAGTTGAAAGGGGGTAAATCCCGTGGACTCATGGGTAGTGGCCCGGTGGATCCCGACAATCTGATATACGATCTCGGGCCAAGGACGCGTGTCGTGTGCCGCTAAGTTCCTGCGAAGGGCGGTTTTAATCATATGGTTGGCATTCTCGGCCAACCCGTTCGACTGGGACACATAGGGTGTCGTATGGCGGAGCGTGACGCCCCTTCGCGCAAGCAGTTCTTCTACCTCACCTTTGAATTCAGACCCACTGTCGGTTATAATTTCTTCCGTATCTAGATGGGTATAGAGGAATCGTTCGATGTACGTGGCTATTTCTACGGCCTTTCGGGTCTTACAGGGATAGACTTCGATGTGTTTAGAAAAATGGTCAATTAAAACTAACAGGATAGAATATTCACAGCGGTTTGGGCCAGGTGGCACGTCGATATCTGTCGTGTCCATACTGACTCGCTGGAAAGGACGCTCTACTTCTGTTGGTACTATCGTGTTTGGTCCCCGTATAGGGGCGCGATCAGCGGCACAGACCAGACAGTTAGCGACAATGTATCTGACATCATTTCGTATATTGGACCATCTATAGTTGCCTCCGTGACACGTATTGCGAAATGAGCGGCCTGTTCTTCGTGAGCAGATCGGATCCAATCGTATCTCTGGAATGGATGGGGAACCGTCAACCACGAACCTGATCCGTCAGTTTTAAGCTTTTCCAAATGAGCGTTGATCCATCGATAGTCCCGAGATCTCTCGGTCGCCTTACGTCTGTCGTGTTTGGTGAGGTGGACCAATGATAATCCCGCTAATTTCGCTAATAAAATTTTATTCGTCCAAACCTCCGCTCGTCGGTATTTTTCGTCGTATTCAGGGCTGTTTGTTCGGGCGGCTTCGAATCGAACCTCCGTGGGGAGTTTGTTTGTTCTACACAGGGGGCATCTTCATTCCTTGCTACTCGTTCGATATCGAACACAGGCCCCGTGCGCACAATTGACACACGTGGCACATTCTACCCAATCAACAAATCCGGTCTCGAAGGGATGACAGTCGACCCCATAAACCCGTGCAATACACGAGCCAAAATAACAGAATTTATCGGGGAGAGTGGCGAAGAAAGCCGAGGAGGTGAGAGGGGGAGAGTTAGTAGGAGAAGAAGGGGTTGCGGAGGCAGGCGAGGTAGTCATGATGACAGAGGAGGAGAGAGTAGAACAGACAAATTAGTTCTCGTGCCACTTACTGCTTCGACAAAATCTCCACTTGGCCGTTCCGGGGTCCAATCTTCTGTTCAGGTTCGTTCCACGGAATCACCTCCTCATTCTTCGGAACTTTCTCAACGGTGCAGCCATGTCAGTCCGTCCGCATTCCCGTGTCTCTCGTGCTTCCGATGATGAATGTCAAAGTCCATGCTTTGCAGCACCGTTGCCCATCGCCCAATCATGCCCGAGTAATCCTTCGACTTCTTCAGAGCCAACAGGGGCTCATGATCAGTCACCAGGGTGAATTTTCACCCGTACAGGTAAGCACAAAAGTGACTGATTCCCCAGAGAGTCGCATAGCATTCTCCCGTTGGAGCGGCGTAGTTGCGCTTGCAGGCGGGCAATGATTTGGACGCATACTCCACCACACTCTCGAGTCCGCTTGGTCCCACCTGGGCGAGGATCGCCGAAATCGCCTCTGGCTGTCAGTCAGTGATGAGAACAAAAGGTTTTTCGGGATCCGGTCTTATAAAGACCGGAGCCGAAATGAGAGCGGCCTTGAGTTTGGAAAACGCTTGATCGCACTCCGGCGTCCAGATCAACGGCTGATCCTTGCGCAACAGATTTGTGAGGGGTCCCGCAATTGCCGCGAAGCCCTTGATAGATCTTCGGTAGTACGAGGCTAGGCCCAGAAAGGCGCGAACTTGCGTGATAGTCGTAGGCACCGGCGCATCCCTGACAGCTGCCACCTTTTGCAACTCCGGTTGGAGTCCCTTGTCTGTCACCACGTGCCCTAGGAAGGAAATGGTGGTGAGGAAAAACTGACACTTCTCAAGCGCCACCTTGAAACCCGCATCTCGTAACGCATGCAGTGTCCATTCGATGTGTTGCACGTGTCCCTCGTAGGAACTTGAATACACCCAGATGTCATCCATGTACACAATCACGCAGTAGTTTATGATACTCTGCGCCAAACGAGTCTTCCTCACGAAATTCTGAAAAACCATGTTCATGGCCCGCTGAAAGGTCGCGGGGGCGTTGCAGATACCCATCGGACATCGAATCCATTGCCACGTACCTTCGAAAAGCACAAACGCTGTTTTCGGACGATCTTCCTCTCGGATAAGAAGATGATGGAACCCATGGCGAACATCAAACTTGCTGAAAAATCGAGCACTCCCAATCGCATCCAACAACTCATCAATCCGGGGGAGAGGGTACACATCTTTAATCGTGATATCATTCAATTTTCGGTAATCAATACAAATGCGAATCCCTCCGGCCTTTTTAGGCACGATCACTACAGGGAAAGACCATGGACCTATAGCGGGTTCGATCCATCCATTAGCTTCGAACTCCTTAATCCGTTGAAAAACGGCCGCTCTTTAAGCTGTCGAGTATCGGTAGGGAGCGCAGCTAATGGGCGGATGGTCTCCCGTGAGAATGGCATGCTCGATCATATTAGTTAAGCCGATGTCGTTATCGTGTATGCTCAATACTTCGGCGTAACCATTCAACACACGGATTAATGATTTTCGAGGTTTCGCGGGGACATGACCTGGCAGGGTGATTGTTGATTCCCCGAAAATCTTAAGGGGCATATCGACCCAATCAACCGGCCGTTCCTGCCAATCATGAATACTAGAGAAAACGGAACTACTGGTGCGAACAGAGAAGACAGTTGCTATCATCTGGGACTCAGCGGGGCTGATCATCTCCGTTTCTTTGGCTTCAGCATCAGTCTCTGAACCAATCGAGGTTGGTTCCACAGTTAGCCCCGTTAGGTCGGTCATTTCTTGCAGTAGGTCAGGTACATCACTTACCGGTGCTTCCGCCTCCTGTTTAATCAAGGCAATGGTGGCTCCTGTCGTTAGCAACGATCTGGGTGGAAAAACAGAAACATCCAAATACCATTTTGTTAGCTGGTAGCGCGATCGTAAGGAGAGAGCTCCTTCGTACAGGGTGCGAGGGGGTCCCAAATCATCAGCCAGGTCGGATAGTTGTAATATAGGTTCCCCGAGGAGGACCGAAGGACTGACCTGGGTTGTTAGAGGCGTGCACAAGCTGTCTCCGGCATCCACGTGGAAACTTCGGGTGGTGTCGGGGCACACTTGATATTCTTCGGGAATTTCTCGTTCGAAAAGTTCGACCAGATGCTTCCATTCATCTTCACTGGGCAACTCTTCTTCGTATTCCTGTTCCCTGAGGCTCGAGGGAGAGCGCTCCTTGGGATCAATGCATCGAATCATCCCAATTTGGGCCGAGTTAGGGACCCGTTTTATCGTTCTGGTGGAAACTCGCAAGGGAACAGTTTGAGGCTTTCCCCCAGTTTGCGTGAGCACCAATTGTTTCGAATCGAAATGCAGACGTGCGCCTACCGCCATCGCCCAAGGTAATCCCAACAACACCGAATAGGAACGTACATCTATTACGAGCGCGTTAACAAGAACGTGTACTCGTCCGACTTTTACAGCCACGTTCTCGATAATGCCTACGATGTTCATTGCTTCCTCGTCGGCAGAGACATAATTGTCTTTGCCAGATTGAGGAAGAATGGATCCAAGTCGTTCCGTCTTTTTGACAGTATCAAATGATATGACCACGGCAGAAGACCCTGTGTCAATAAGGGCATTAAACGGCTTGCCCCAAACTTCACAATCACATTCCGCACTTTTCCATAATACCGGCCGAGCTCGTACGAAGTGATTTTTTTCTGCTAAAGAGATCGCTGCTATTCGTGCGGCTTCGGGTTCAGGTTCTCTCGTGTCAGGCTCGGGGGGTGCAACTTCCTCGCTTCCTTCCTTCTTCTTCAACATCCGTTGTATGCGTCAGGCTCGGGGGGTGCAACTTCCTCGCTTCCTTCCTTCTTCTTCAACATCCGTTGTATGCGCTGATAGGTAAAGCGCTTTTTATTTTTCTGGCAATGTTGTAAAAATTTATCGTTCGCCGCTTCAGATATGGTGAGCAGATGTCCTACTGGGATAGGAACGCGAATATCTAGTTGCTTGAGCATTTTCAATACATCAATGTCTCCTGTCCGAAACTGCGATCCAGGATTGGATTCGCGATCGACCCATTTGAGATCATCTGGGGCCGATCGGATCGCTCCGATCATGCCTGCGAGATGAAGATACTCGAGGGGATCGACCACGTCAGCAGCGTCAGAGGAAGAAGCTCCCGAGGTCGACGCCGTTGCCATCGAAGGGGAAGGCTGCTCGGGGGCATATGCCACGAGTTCTCCTCCTTGGTCCGTATCCATCAGAGCGGCCACTCGTCCTTGATTAAGGACGACCGGGGCCGCAGCAGGGGGAGGCTGATTACGTTTCGGCTGCGGACAGTCACGGGCGAAATGCCCGGGCTGTTTGCAGTTAAAGCACTCGATCTTTCCTGCTGGATTAGCTAGATGAGGGAACTGAGGTGCGAACCCTGGAGCAGGTGGGGCAGGTAAGAGTGGAAATGATGCAGGGGCAGGCCGAGCAGGAGCCGGGTTAGGCTTAATTAGCCTGCTCATTATCTGTTCCATTCATTCCATATGAGCGGTCTGCATTTGGATCAAATTGCTCATCCATGGTGGTGGCCGTGTGGATCATCTGGGCAAGATGTAAGTTGGTTATGGCCGGCGAAGGGGGTTCGGGTGAGATTCCGCTTTTGACTGTCGCGATCGATTGATTCACGGGAGGAGAGGAAGAAGAAGCAGGCGGGATATCGGAAACGATCCCGCCGGGAAGGTCATGGTTGGGGCGGGGGTAAAACCGTTCGACCGCCTGCAGCCATGATCGCCTTTTAGCTGTTACATCCCGTATGGTATCTGCAATATCCTCGTCTCCCTGACTGATATATTTTTTTGTATCCGCCAGGTCTAGTTCCAGTGCTTTAGCGATGATAGCTGATAACTGGTGTGTTTTCGGCGGGACCTTTTTCTGCAGTTTCCCTTTCAATGTCGGACTTCGTAGGTGATCAATGAACAAATCTCGAGCGGATTTCTCGTCTCGCCCGGATTTGTCCAACGTGGTTTGAAATCGATCGACGAAATCGGGCAACAATTCCCCTGGTCCTTGTGGTCGATTTTTGAGTACGTACCAGGCGGCATCTTCACTAACCGTATCGAATCGAGCCAAGAAGGCTTGCTTGAAACTATCCCAATCTACCCACGTACGTTTTTTAAACCAGTCATGCGACGTATTGCGGAGTAGCAATGTCAGAACGTGGGGAAGATCGGTTGCGTTGTAGTTTTGAGCTTCAACAACTTCTAGCCAAGCCTCGGGATGGGTATGGTTAGGGAAGAAGGGGAAGGGGGCAGGGATGCTAACGATCACCCTCGTACCGTCCACCATTGGTATTGCGGGTGCAGCCGCACCAGACTGAGACCTGGTCACTGGGCGATCCTGACGAGCTAGTTGAGGGTCTCTCCTACCTCTCGCCAGTTCGACTTACTATCATCAGAACCGACACGTGTCGGCTCCGATACCAACCTCACGCCCTGTGCCGTCTTTCGTTCGGAGTGTGAGACGTGCGGAAAAAAGCCCAGAAAAACAACGAGATGGGGTGTGTCAAGGATTTTTGGAAATTGAGTGTGGGGACACAGACGAAACTGAAATCCCCCGTGTTGGTCCGATGAAGCAAGTCGATTGCTTTTGCGCGTCGCAGAATGCGTACGCGGGCAAGGCGTGAAGAGAGAAAAATCCAAATTCAATCCAAAAAGTATTGTCGGGCTTCCCACCATGCCACGGCCCGTCGTTTAGAGCGGAAGGGCTTTGGTACGCTTCGCGTGTCCCGTTTCTGTATCAAATCTCGACGTCGTTCGCTGGTCAGTTCTGAGTCCGACGTGGATGGTCTCAGTCGCGTGGCTCTTTCCTTATGCTCGTCTTCACTCCGTATTCGGTAGTGGAAACCCTTCGCTTCGTAGTGATCGAAGCGCTGGCAATCCATACACAGGGTTCGAGGCCAATGGGTCTCTACTGCCATCCACGAGATGACGATCAGCTCGTTAAATGGCAACAATATCAAGTAGGGTGGAAAGTGCGTATCGATAATGACAAACCCAGCATCTACGAACCCTGAACAACGGTTGGCCGGAGGGAAGTAATATTGCCCGCCGATT